TATATATATATATATATATATATATATATAATTTTTTTTCTTGGGTTTTCTGTTTTTTAAAAAAAAATGCAGCTGGAAGATCAGACAACCAAAGAAATTCTGGGTTTATTTGTTCAATAGGCTACATCATGTAAATCAGCGTAATCATTTTAAATAATGATTCCTTTTTTAAAAAGCTGCTTATAAAACCTTGTTTTAAAACCTGAAGCATACAAACCCTATTGGCAAAAAAAAAATCAAATAAATTTAAGTTATACACTGTAAAAAGCATCAATCAAAGTTTTAATCAACATTAAAAAAAATTACAATTCAGAAAGGCAGATAGGGAAGCATGCCAGCTCTCTGGGAATGGCAAACTTCTGAAAACATTGACAGAAAACTGTATGAATCTGGCCATGTTTTCAACAGGAATCAGGGTTGATTCAAAGAACCATGACATTTTAAAAAAATAAATCCACCCTTTGTTGCTTGCATAGTGCCATGATGGGAAGGTAGTTAGGAAAACTGGATTGATCAGTATATCCATTTTCAATTCAGAGTAATCCTTCCTGTCTCATTTACATTAGTCAATGTAATCCGAGTCGCCCTTATAAACAGATAATCACTGATTATCCTACTCTAAGCATCCCAAATATAGCAAGATGGCTAGTATGAGAGGTTGGAGGGAATTGATAGTTCTCAATTATTGATTTGGCAATGTGGGTCCAGAGAGAGAGATACAAATACCACAGAAGTTGGTCTCAAATTCAATGCACAATAGTTTATTGGGACTTTAAGCAATATTACAGAGACGTCTTAATATTGTCAACTTAAAGTTTTCCTTCTCCAGTCCAACCAAAAGCCTATCTGAAATTCCAAATAGGAATTCCTTTCCTATTTGGGAATTGGAATTAATTATTAATTCCATTAATTATTGGAATTAATTATTTTGAAACTATTGGTAAATATTACAGCAAATAGGAATTCCTTTCCTATTTGCTGTGATATTTACCAACAGTTTCAGAATAATTGATTCACCTAAAGCCCATATTATGTTTCAAAAATATATTTTTCTACAAGAAAGGCAGAACATGTGTTGTTTTATTGCATTTGCAATGTTAAGACTTCGCATGTTAACTGACTGCTTTTCCTTTTCTCAAACATGCACTAGTAGGACTTATTGAAGGGTCTTCTAAAGCTTGCTAGCTGGTCTACTGCACAAAGACGGACAAACCAAGATAGAGTTTCCAGGATGATGCTTACCTTTAAAGAAGTGACAGTACTTCAGGCATTATTACATAGAAAGACGCAGTAGCATTCAGTTTAATATACACACCACACTAGCAAAGGCCTGATTGGCTCCATAAGGTCGAATAACCAATGGAATATCCAGATAAGTATCAATTCTCCAGCTCTCATAGCCACATTCCAGGCATCTTACATAGTCCTTCAGCTTGCCTTGGTAGAGCTGATTTATGAGATCAGCCTGCATTTGAGAAAAAAATATTTCAATATTCCAAAAACAAATTTATCTATCTTTATGAAGCATTATTTCCTGAAGAATTTAAATCTAGCTGGCTTACATATTCTAAACTGCAAAATAATACTCTACAATAGTAGTTCAGGGTATGTATTCTAAATTCTGCCTTTAATCCGTAAGTTTATTAATAGCATTCTTTGAACTAAAAAGATATATAGAACATATTTAAAATTCATTTCTAGTTCTCTGGCTATTCATTATTTCAGCTTATTAAAGTGAAAATATGAACATAAATTCATGGCAGATTTTTATTTATCCAATTTGTCTTAATCATGTTTAATGAGAATGCTGCTTATTTCTATTCCAATTAAAAATATATGCCTCATTCTACTGGAAGCCCATATCAATTTCATATATATTTATAAATGCATGATTTGCACATTTTAATTTTTTTACAGTCATATTCATATATAAAATGATTTTAATGTACTTTTTATCTGAAATATTTATGCAGATATATTTAGCCAAATATACATTTCAAAATGTTCTTTGGTAGTAATGATTGGCATAATGGATATATATACAAGAATGTATATAATGTAAGAAGAGCCAAGGTGGCGCAGTGGTTAGGGTGCAGTACTGCAGGCCACTTCAGCTGACTGTTATCTGCAGTTCA